AGTCCGTGTTCTCGCTCCCTGCCAGACAGTCCGTGTTCTCGCTCCCTGCCAGACAGTCCGTGTTCTCGCTCCCTGCCAGACAGTCCGTGTTCTCGCTCCCTCTCAGCTCCCTGCCAGACGGTCTATGTCCCTGAGGACAGGGTTAGGAAACACTGTTGTGTTTCTATAGACTTGTCAGTATTGTATGGCCTTGTCAGGTGTTTCTGCCTGGGCAGTACCTTACAATATGTTATACTTTACATTGAGCCAAATTCAACAAATCTAAAGTAGGCTCCTCACTAGTAAATTGAGGAAAATATAAACATTTCTTTATACAGTCTTGGCAGATGTGTATTCTTTTTGACAAAGGTGGTCTTGGTAACATTGCAGCATGTTCAATGTGATAAGCATTAGGCTTAAGAATTTGCATAAATCAAATTATTTTTTCCCTCCATAGTGAACATTGTAATGAAAGGCTCCCATGGTTTTATCTCCATTACGGATTGGCCACTTATGATTGTGAGTATTAATGATTTAATACCCTAAATAGATGTGACTAAAAACCAGTTCTTTGTTAAGAAGCCTGTGTGAGAATCCCAGTGTGTAAGAAATGGGATTGAAAAATGATGTAAACAAGCTGCCTGGCAAAAAAAGGTCACATTTGATTTTAAATCGGCAAGTACTTAAGAGCCAGTGATTGGATCATTACTACAGCTCAACAATGCTATGCAGCAGTGAAGTGAAATCAGTTGTGCACCTGAAACTACTGAATGGTCAGATTATCCCATCAATGGATTTTTTCTTTCCTAATTTCATGGGCATAATCCGGGATAATGCCAAGATCCCTCGGCCTTGAATTGTCAAAGAATGATTTAGGGAGCATGAGGAATCATTTTCAGACATGAATTGGCCACCATAGAGTCTTGGCCTTAACCTCATTGACTTTACGGAGTGGTTCAACTCACTGATCATCAATACAAGATCTTAATGCACATCTGGATGAAAAAAAATGTTGATGTTTCACGTAGAAACATTGCAGCATCATTGTGCACCATAATCAAAGCTCCGGGCCGTCCAACGAAATATCAGTGTGTGCGATTTTTTTTTTTATTATAATTTTTTTTTGGCCCGGCAGTTTATCTCTGATACAATGAGTGAAGAGTGTGCTTGGATCTGGTAGTCGTACCTGTTTTTGGTGATCATCTCCCTTGCCCCCACCCACTTCTCTCTGTCAGTTCTATATGGTGATGTGCATGGTGTACATTCTCTATGCACTGTTCTGGTTCTTGTGGTCGGCCTGCTACTGGAAAGATCTCCTGAGGATCCAGTTCTGGATCGCCGGTGTCATCTTCCTGGGCATGGTGGAGATGGCCGTCTTCTGCGCCGAATACGAGAACACCAACCTGGTGGGCTCAGCCTGTAAGTAGCCATACCCAGCGCTCACTCGTGCCTATCTTCACTGGGATATTGCCAAAGACTTCATGTCTTTAGTTGCTTTTCCTTCCTGATTATTCTTGCTCCTCTTAAAGAATGTCCGTGATACAAATGTACTTAATCTCAGATGCTTGGGTTCGCTCGTTATTTTTCTTCTAACGTCGCAGCTCAAGGTCTACTGATATTCGCTGAGCTCCTCTCGGCCCTGAAGAGATCCCTGGCTCGGCTGCTAGTCATCATCGTCAGCCTGGGATACGGAATCATCAAGTGAGCGCCGAGCCGCTGCGTTGCTCTTCCTGTTAGCCTTTCCCTGGTCCGCGTGCTTTGTGCTCATCAGTACAGCACATCCCAAATGGCATTGTAATGCAAAGGACCACCTCTGAATTAATGATGTGCGAATGTTTATTTCTCGCTTAGAGATTAGTAATGTTGGCCTTCATTATGATTTATTCATATTTAGCTGCAGACATTCAACAGTTATTAATTTAGCAGGCGCTACAGTATTATTATCCCTAGTTCCGGTTTAGGTAATTGATTGATCGCTGATGAAAATGGACTGTTCTCAAACCTCCTGGTTCTCAGCTACTTGTTTTAGTGTGCACTTGATTTAATCTATGTCCTGTATTTAGGCCACGCCTGGGGACCGTCATGCACCGAGTGGTGGGGCTCGGAGTGCTTTACTTCGCCTTTGCTGTTATTGAAGGTGTTCTGAAAATTACTAGGGTAAAATACCATTCATACCTTTCTATTCAGTCTTCGAAAATATGCCTAATTGACAGGGTATGATATTCTATACAAAAAGCTAATGTATAAAACCATAGGATCTATTGAGATCTGCCCTTCTAGTCCTCAGTCTTTTCATCATTTAATCACTCAGTTTGAATGTTAAGACACTCATTTCATTTTCTTAAAAACAAGCATTTAATTAGCCTTGTTTAGAACCATGGCACGTCAATGTGTGCGCGTGCGGCACTGCACGTCTAACCTGAGTAGTGTGTGTCTCAAAAGGGTCCAGAGAGTAGCAGAGCCATAATCGTCATTTTCTTAGCTGTGTTTGACTCCTGCTGCACCTGGTTCATATCCTTTGCTGTTGTAGTTTGGTTTAATGGTATTTTTTTAATGCTGAAGTTTGGGTTTTAAGGGTCATATTTAGTGAGTTGCATCCCCAAATCGTGTACTAATCAGTGGCTTTGCGTGGAGATGCAGCTCCTGATTTGCGCTCTCCTTCTGTGTCTCCTTCTTGCTTCCTCCTCCTCTCCTTTAGGCGAAGGACTCAGACCTGGCCCTGCTTGCTAACATTCCACTGGCTTTACTTGACTCATCTCTGTGCTGGTGGATATCCTTTATAGTGTGCTTGTCTGGCTGCCGTCTCCCTGCCTTCTCTCTTCTTCTTTTGACCTTCTGAGGTTTTTATTGCACTGATTCCACCTTTATTCTCAGTCCAGTTATCCTGTTATCCAGCTTTTGAGGTCTGAGGGATGCAGCTCTGTAGTGCATCATGGACTTAAGTGTCATAGGTTCAATGGGGTAGGACGCTGAGCTGGTGATCGGAAGGTTGCTGGTTCAAATCCCACGGTCAGCAAAATGGTTTCACTGTTTGGCCCTGAAGCACGGCTCTTAACCTAATTTCCTCAAGAGCTAATTTGCCTAATTCTTTGTCATTTTGGATAAAATTGTCTGCTAATTAAATTAATGTAGAATTTAAATGAATGTCAATGTGTAGTAGTGTCATGGACTTGTGACAGGAAGGTTGCTGGTTCACGACCCAGCCGGGCTCTTGCTGCAGTGCCATTCAGTGAGAGATGTAATTGGTATGTATTCAATAAAATGCAAGTGACTGAATGCATGTTGTCTGTCCCTTTGTCTGATTTTTTCTCAGTTACTGTTGTTGATTCTGTTGGCATGTGCCAGTGTTTGTGTGCAGTGTTGATGGCTTTTCAGTACAGAGCCCCAGCACTGCTTAGATCACCCTCTTTCCTTAACTGGCATCTACATATATGTGAGTCTGGCCCAGACTATAAAGACTCTCAAGCTCAGAAGAAACCCAATGAAGTTATCGCTCTACAGACACTTCACCAACACACTCATCTTTGCCATCATTGGTGAGTCAGCCGTTCCTGGGCATCAACCTCATTAATACTGCAATAATACTTTTTAAACTGTGTGTATATGCAATGTGTGAGTGTGTGTGTGTGTGTGTGTGTGTGTATGTATGTATGTATGTATATGTGTGTGTGTATATATATGTATGTGTGTGTGTATATATATATATATATATATCGCTCTAACGTCATTAGTGCGTGTGTATATTTATGCTATGTGCAAGCGTGTGCAGTGTATATCTGTATAGCACTAAAATGTATATGTATAAAGTATGTATATGTATAAAGTGTGTATGCATATTTATGCAGTGTGTGTGATGGTGCCTGCCTGCCTGCGTGCGTGTGTGTGTGTGCCCACGCGCAGTAGGTATAGGATGGACACTCCAAGCCGCCTACAAAGGAGAGTGATAGTACCACAGCACGTGATGTGGCCACCTAACCTAAACACAGCAGAAATGGGTTAGGAGGAGTTTGACCAGAAAGTGAAGGAAAAGCAGCCAATGAGGCCTGAGCATATATGCAGGATCTCCGTCAGGACAGCTGGGAAAGCATCCCAGGAGGCCACCACATGGAACTGGCATAGAGGAGACTGTAGGGTCAGCCAGTCCCTGGAGAAACTGGGGTTAAGGGCCTCGCTCAAGGGCCCAGTGGTGGCGTCACTCTGATGACCCAGGGATTCGAACTGGCAACCTTCTGAGTCCCCCCCCCCCACAAATTTATTTATTTTTTTGGTCAGTGACGATTTCCATATTTGTTATGTTATAGTTTTGGTCCCTTTGCAATTATTGTAAAACGTAGAGGACAGTACAGGTATACCTTTCTTTGGGTTGGTGTGTCCAAACATTTGACTGGTAGTGTATATGTATAGTGCTCACGTCATTACTGTGTGTGTGCAGTATATATCTGCATAGTGCAAACATCATTAGTGTGTTTGCATATTTATGGAGACTTGCTTTTTCTTTTTTAGCCTCCATTATTTTCATGTTGTGGACATCTAAAAACATTTGGTTTGCTAAATGTCAATCTGTGAGTACAACTTTAACATTATTTCTTAAGTTATTTTTCCTTTTAAGTATTCGCTTGGTGAGCTTCTCTCAATGGAGAAGTCATTCTTATGGTAATATTACTGTGAGTTTAAATATTCTCATGTAATTTCTGGGTTATCTATTTGAAGTGTGTTGCTGAATTTTGTTTGCACTATTAGGAAGGATCATGCTCGTTTTGTAAAGCGCAGCCGGCATTGTTCGCTAGTCTCTTGTATGTTCCCGCATGGGGCAGGGGTGGCGGGGTGGCAGAACACAGGGGTATGTTG